TCGGCCTCCGGGGGGCGGGCGAGGTATCTGCGCAGCCCGGAGGAACACACACCACGCGATCACGCCGGCGCTTTCGAAAAGTTACCAGAAAGCACTCCCCAGACGAACGCCGCCCTTCTGACGGCCCCCGGCACTGCCGGAGCCGCGGGGAAGCCCACCCAGCCAGCATGCCAACCTCCCAGCGGCGAGGCGGGTGCGTGCCTACCTTGTGATCCAGGCGCCCCAGCCCCGGGCTGTCACTCCGCAGGCAGCAGGAGAGCCGAGGGTAGAAGCCACCGCACGGCATCTCTCCCCCGCTCAGCAGCTCCTGCTGGGACATCATGCGCCTGTCTCTCCTTTTCAGGCGTTTCGGGGGGTTCCCGTTCAGGCACCTTCTCCTCCGCACTCCGCTCGCTTCGCTTCTTTCCCCAAACTTAGCATCTCCTTCGAAGAAGCCCAGAGCCACGGCCAGCAGCAGCAGCTTGAATGAGAGCATCTTCAGCATCGTCTGCCCGGAGCGGCCGGGGCTGGGCGCGGGCGAATGGGGGGGAACGCCACTGCCCAGCAGGGGCACTAGGGCGCAGCGCCGGGAGGAGGCTGCGGGGCGGCGGGACACTCTCGAGGCCGAGGGAGGTGGCGGGGGCGATGCAACTTTGCAAAAAACGAAAGGCGAGGCGATGGGTCCAGTGCCTGGGGGGAGCCCGAGGAGCGAGAGAACGTGGAGCGGATGACACCGCGGACAGCTGTGCCAGTGTCAGTGGGGTTAGGGGCTCTCTGCCGCGGCGGGGCAGTGGGAGGAGGAGAAGGAGTTGGAAGAAGAGGAGGAGAAGCCGGCCACAGAGCGTCACTTGTCCGTGTAACGGGAGTTGTGTAGGTGAGACAGTAGCAGCGACAGAACCGGCGGCGGCGGGGCAGGCGAAGGCAGGGCCGGCGCTGGGCTCTAGATGATGCTGAGGTCTCCTCTGCCGGCGGCTGCAGCTTCTCACGCAGCCTCTCATGTTTCGTTCCCTCTTTTCTTCTTCTTTTTAACTAGCGCGCGGGATTCTATAGGAATGAGTGTGTATATATATTTTTGGGGGACACCCTGTATATGTAAAGCAGAATTAAAAAATATATATTTGGTTTATTTGTGTCTTGAAATTCACTACTGAAATTCCTAATTTGATATTCTCGAAGATGTTAACTTGAATTACATTTTTCTAATTTTAATTCATTTTCAATCTAAAATTACATAGGGAAAGTTTTCTAAAGTGGGGAAAAATTTCTCCCCTTCATGTTCTATAAAAATAATATCTGGAGCTGAATCAAACGGGTTTAAGACCCATTTTTATTATTCATTATATCTTAGCCAGGAAAAACTTTCTAACCAGCTCCTCAGGTGTGTTATATGCATGAATAAACTCAAGAGTCTAATAAAAGTGCTTTTGTATAGTATTTAGTAAGTGTTGATGGGAAAAGGCATGCTTTTATCTTTATTTATACAGCAGTATGCCTTTTATGTCAATAAGACCAATTTGGGTGTCATTGATTCACTGAGGTTAGGTCTCAGTGCCTTAGTACTAACTTTGAAAAACTGATTTCAGGAGTTCCTCTAATTAATATAGAGGAACAGTATCAGCACAATATTTGAGATGTGCTGTCTAAACCAATAACTGATTTTTCATATTGAAAAAAACCCTAATGGGACTGAATCTTCAACATTTTCCCAGTTTATGTAACTATATCTTACCTAATCACTTCTTTAGAACTAGGAACTGGAGTTAATATTTTAATATATAGATCATTGTTTAAAGCAAATAGTTCATTCACAAACTGATGTTCTAATTTGAGTACATCGTATGGCTTCTACTTTTTTAGGATAAATATATTCTAGATGATCACAAAATTTGGATCTTCAAGAGCAAAGCAACTTAAATTCCATAGAAGTTAACCAGTTTCAGAAAAAAATTTACAATATGTTGTAACTATCTACGATATTCAGAAGTCACTTCTAATCAGAATTATATGTACATTTTAATTTTTATCAACTTATTTAAATGACAATTGCTTAAATGGTTAAAGTTTTCTAAAAGGAAACATACACCAGACACTTAGAATTTGCATTCCAAGAATGTTTTAAATGTCTTTTATTGTCCATACTCTGGCAGACCTCACCAGATCCATTCAATATTAATACTGTTCAACTTTGTTCTGTTTGTTTATCATACAGCAGTCCTCTAAGAACAAAACAACTGCAGGATGTTGAAACCACCTCCTTTGCTGGCGGAAAAACTGCAATGTAATTACCTTTGGTTTTATGGAGAATATGCACGCTTCCATTTTTTTATAGCTGAAACAAAATGATCCCCATATACTCTCCCAGCTGCTGTCCAGGAAGAGCTTGAAGTTAGTGCCTAAAGAATTTTGTCTTTTACAATTTTTGGAATGTGTCCTGGCCACAAGATCTCTCATCAAAAGTCTCAGAAATAGGATTCAATAAATTATCTGAAATCAAGTATAATATTATTCTTTGTAAAGTTTCATGCTGTTCCGGCCCAGCAGGATGGTAACATTTTGCTCTGTGTGAGGTCTGCAGTGTAAATACCCATTTGAAGATAGATAGAGCCATCATTCTGGCTTTGGTTTCAATGAACCAATAGTCTTACTGAAGTCAATTAAACTGACTCAGCCCAAGCTGCAACACTGTTTTGGACAGATGTGTACTGCTGTGTGTGTGTGTGTGTGTGTGTGTGTGTGTGTAGGGATTTTTTTTCTTGTCAGCCTATGTGTCTGTGTCTATACAGGTCCTTAACTTTATGTCTGACAATGTCATCAATCTTAAGAAGAAATTTAAGCTAATTTCCTGTTTCGATTTCTAAAAGCCATATACGAAACCATCAAATTATAGTGGTTTAAACTAAATATACTTTGGAAATCATGTAAAACTTGGAAACATTATTACAGCATGCCTAGTAATGATTGTGGCTGTTGCTGACTAATTTATAACATCTGGCAGGTCATCCTTTAATCTTGAGCCACATGAAAGTAAAACCCATAGAAGAAAGGTAAGATAAATCCTGGAATACACAGTGAAGCGTGGCCTACAACTATAGCTTATCAACAAGTAGTAAAATGGGTGACAGAGACCTTCTGTATTTCTCCTTATTTATCAAGTAACTAAACAAAGAGCATAGAAAGGCCCCCACATGGGTTTGATGAGCGGACAAAAGGAGAAAATACATGACAGTATATTAAGATGTCACCTTAAGATCACTTGGTACATAAAAAGTTATTTCTAAAAATCATATGCCTACAATGCTCTTCAGCTGTTAGGTAGAACACATGGGTCTCTGGACTATAGTGCTGGATTATGTCATTAAAGAGTTCAGTTTCAATTTTAGGCTAATATGTAAATAGATCATTGTACTAAGGCAGCTGTTAAAGGGATCCCAGGATGAGTTATTTGTTTAGTTGGATGTGTTCAACAATAGGCTTTGTCCCTGAAAGAGCCAGAGCAAACAAATGATTGTAAAAGGGCACACTTGAAAACAATTACTTTTCACCCATTCCTTGACAGCTTTGGCTGTGAAACCACCCAAGGTAGAGAGATCTTCTATGCTTCTGTGGCTACAAGTTAAGTTTTAGAAATGGGGGTATTTCAGTTGGTAGTTTGAATTTGGCAAATGGGAATTAGATCCTTTTAGCATGTTGTATTTAAGAGCTGCAAAAATATTAAGACAATATAACTTCCTAAATTTTGGCAGTAGTTATTTATAACAGTAGTTAGCCATCTCATTACAATGCTCAAAATGATTAAAATGTTAAAAACGTTAAACTATATTTAAATAAAAAACATAATGCCATGGCTACAGAATTGAACTTAATGCTAGTTCATTACATGAAAGAATATGTGTGAGACTGGACACTGGACTTACTGGCACAGCTGAGCATGCTCAATACTCCTACATAGTTTGCTACTATCTGTCTATGAAGTTTCTTCCCATAGGAAAAGGCTACTCCTATAGTTTCTTGAAAAGTTGCAGAAATCTTTCTGGGGAAAACATTTTTTTTTTCACAAATAAAAAAGGGTCCTTTCAAAAAGCCATCATCTCTCCTGTCCATATATTATGAAATAAGACCCTAACATATATTATAAACCAGGAAAGGTTAG